GGGAATGACTGGTGATGATGACGAGCAGCCTGCAAGAAGTAGCGCTGGGTTTGGTTAGTCTTGGGAACTGCTGAGAGGACGGGGTAAGACTTACAGAGTAGTATGATTGCGATCACAATGAGCATCATGAGAACATGATGATATCCAATAAACGGTGCGAAGCCTGCAGAGAAAGCATATTAGAAACTGGTCCATCCCCCGAGAAGTGGAGAGGAAGAGGAGGAGGGACTCACGGAAAATTGATATCGAAAACCGCATCTGTGCCATCTTGACGGTTGCCTGTGCTTACGCACGCTCCAAAGCCAGCTGGCTAGTATTCGAGAATTGACTGCAGTGTCCCCTATCGTCCTCCTCTATAGAGGGGCGTGGAGAGCACAGAGCAGTTGGAGATTCAGCAGAGCTAGATCTTGCGTCTTGTCGCTCTCGTCGTCGAGGGATTGGAGATGCCGACGGGCGGAGAGGAGCTGAGGAGTGCTGGATTGATTGTCTGTCTAGATGTGTAGAGGTATCGTGGTCTTGATATGGGTGATACAAGTATTATAACTGTCGTGAAGTAGGTCTGTCTTCTTTTCGTTCTTTCGTAGATTGTATCAGATCGGCGACAAAGCTAGGTCGAAGTGCTGAATGATAACGACGGTACCTGTTCTCAGGTGAAGAAATGATGAGAGGAGAGTGAAGGTATGTTTGTATGTTGGGGGAGCAACTCAGCTTGGTCCAATGTCTTCCGAGGAATTCAAGAATCAAAGAATAAACGGTGGTTGGGAGAGATCGGTGGTGACGATGATGCGGTTTCTATTTCCTCACTACTAAAACTAGGGTTGTGCCAGCCTCTGTGTTTATCTGTGCATCATGGCGACAGGGGTGGTTGGGCGGCATGGCAACCGTTGTGGCTAATTTGGGTGCCTGGCCCAAAATCCACTCGGTTGATCCCGAAACCTATATGACGTCTGTTATGAATTTGCAGGGATTGTTTACTGCCCAGCCACGCCATTTCGAAGCCATGCGACAGACTCTTAGGCCTCAACAACATTATAGATTCGCTAGCAGATCTCTAGGATCGTATAAAAATTCCATGCGTACTATCATTCACATAAAACAGCAGCGCCCAAAAACTTATGCTGCTGTGAAGCCACACAGCATATCGCATCGTACACACGTAAAATACAGATGAAACGCCAAGAACTGATGCGACCCTCGATGAATGCTGTGAAAAGGACCATTGATCTCAGATGCTAGATAGATAAATGTCCCCACGTAAACTTTTTCACAGACATTGCTACCATGCTCATGCTACACGGCCAAACCGTAAGTGCCGCAGCAGCAGTGGGAAGCGTACAATCTCTCCAAAAATATGCATTGCCAAAATCAGCAATGACCCTCAAAGCCATTCCACCGCGCCCATGCTGCGGGCAAGCGTGTGAACCAGGCTCCCGCCACGAGAATCCCTATTCCCTTCCCTCGCCTATGTCAGGTATCGTCCACCCTCCGTCTACGCCTCGCTCCTCTAAATGTATAAGTCTGCCTCCCTTTGCCTCCTATGTCCCTACTTTCCGTTTGTTGAAGTTTATATATATCATATTAACCGCGTCCATACATAAATCGCTGCTCACTGGAGGAATCCGCTGGGTTCCGCTGGGTACATCCTCTGCCTCTTATTATCCGGGTGCTCGCTCTGGGTTGCCATGTCGGGCATGTCGGCCAGCTGCCTGCGGTTCCCTACTTGGTTTGGCGCGGGCATTGCCGCCGCCTGTGCTGCTTGTGCTTGCGCTTGGGCCTGTGCTTGAGCTTGTGCCTGCGCTTGTTGGTATGCGGAGTGGGTTGGTGTTATCGCGTATGCTGCATTACTTTGCATCTGCGCAAAGTTTGCCTGGGCGGCTGAGTTGGGAGATTGCCCTGGCATTTGGTTCGGAGAGGGCCAGGGCCCTGGGGATTTGCCTGGCGAATTCTCGTCTTTGATAGGCTGGGCCGATGCGATGTTGGAAATGTTCATGTTTATCGGTTGTTGGGCGTTTGCCATTACTGGCTGGTATGCAGGGTATCCTGCTGCTTGGGGTTGGGCGGGGTTGGCGTAGTCTTTCTTGAACTGCATGAGATGCTTTTCTAGACTTCGAAACATGCCTTCCTTGGTAAAAGGCTTCGGTAACACATCGTTCATGCCTGTTAAATATTAGTGAAAGTTAACACAAAGAGCAAGATCGATATCCTTACCATATCGGAAGTACATATCAATGTCGTCAGCCCTTATGTTGGAAGTCATAGCAATGATAGGTATCCTAGGTGCGACCTCGCGGATGCATACAGTTGCGGATATACCATCCAAGTGCGGCATAATGATATCCATAAGAATTAAATCAAAGGAGTTTGGTGCAGCATTCATCTTGTCAACAGCTTCGAGTCCGTGTCGCTTCAACATGTCAGTATCACAGGTAAGTTGGGGGGTTGTAGTAGACGTACAGCTATATCCACACCGCACTGAAAGCTTTGCAAGAACTTGGATCCCACGCGTGCGCAGGTCTTATCGTCCTCAACCAGTAAAATGCGAGGTTTATGCATTCCCCATCCAGGATCCGTGAAGCTCTTCTTCCGCCCTGCCGCAGACTTCGATTGCTCCATATCTGTCTGATTCTCCGCCAACGGTCCACCCGGAGGAATAGAGTAAGGGATATTGTTAATATGCGCGCTGTTGATCGGATCGATGCCATTGACTTGTCCCACCGGGTATACCATGCTGTCCAAATCGTAATTGCGATTCGAATACGGCAAATTATTTGGAAGACTGGTCGTCGTTGGCGTCGGCACAACACCGCCCGACCCTGACTGGTCATTCGAAGGAGTGGAGTATTCGCTACGGAAGCTGAAGGGACCGCCGACCTGCATCTGCTCGAGGTCCTTGCTGAATAGGTTCTCGGCAGAGAATTCCTGGAGGAGATGTGAAGCCTGCTGTAATGGCGACGCGGGATGGTCATCTGGCCCTGATCCAACAAGGTCTGCAATGCCAATGCCATGGCCATTCGCGTACCCTATAGTCCGGCTGTTCCTCCTCTGCGCATCCATTGTATGTAAGAAGCTCATAACCCGGTGCATTGCTCCGTCGTGGTTCTTTACAACCTTTTGGAGCCCCACAACCTGTGTTAATAATACGGCGTGGTTGGTAGTAAGGTCGTCGTATCGATCTTGAAGGTTTTGCAGCTGGTGCTGGACGGCGCCCAATTGGGTGTTGACCAAGTCAATCTGCTGCGACGGAAAGGACTCCTCAACTGACGTGTTCGTCTTCCGCGGTGCCGGACCCTTTCGTCTGATGTTGTCCAGCGAATCCTTATTATTTGCTTGAAACTCGGGATGCTTGAACTCCCATGCCTGTATTCTTATTAGTATCCTGCTGGGCACTCCGAACCTAACATACCCCTTGACCATACGGATTCTGCCCATTATCTTCATTATTCTGCCGAACCTTGTGGAAATCGTACTTGTTCAACTGGCGGACGAAACTCGCGAAGTTGCTGTGCTTGAAGTGCTTGGGGAGGATGGATTTTGTGAATTTCTCGTTCTATCGCTAGAGTCAGCGATTGCCCCGGCTTGTGACTCCTCTCTCATATAACTGACTTCTAAGACCACGAAGCTGTCGCCTTCATTACCCCACCGCACTACTGATTCGTATGACGGATCCTCCAGCATTCTGTTTGCGCGTTAGTCATATCCCTCGGCGTTCGCGACATCTCGTATGGCGTTGGAACCTACTTGTACAGCTTCCGCACCTGCGCAACAGTTAGCCAATGCGACCCCCATCGTCCACACCCAAATGAAGACTCACAAAATCGCTGGAGTTATTGGACCCAGTCCCTGCTGTTTCGGCCTTCTCCATGGTGTAGGTAGCCGCTCGAACAGCCTTATCGACGTCGCTGTCGTCTTCGGGGTACGCCGCCGGTAGCCGGCAGAATCAGGGTCCTGGTCGCCCTTGCTCCTTCGGCGTTCGACTTTGCGCTGCGCTGGCAAAAAGAACGATGGTCAGGGCGACTCGGCCGAGGGCAAACGAGAGAGCGAGGGATGTCGCCTAGGTGGTCGATGCTCTGCGGGGCTATGGCACGGTTTTATGAAGCAGGCGATACTTCCATGGCGCGCAAATGGAGGAAGGCGCGCGGCGCAGCGGTCGTGGATGACTCGGGGCGTGAGGGCTGGAGGGGTAGTTGCTACAGTAGTGATCGTTGTTTGATGCTCAACGTAAATGAGCGACAGTTTGGCGTTCAATGTTCGTGTTGTTTAGTAGGGAAGGTCGTGGGATGAACAAAGTGGAGTTTTCGTTGGCTTTTCGATGGGGTAGAGGCTGGTGGTGGTCCCTAAGGGTTGTGTGGTGGGGATGATGGGGGGGTAGGGGGCGGTAGTTGTGGTGGTGGTGAAACCAAAGTGATGCGGTTACTGGAGTTGGCGCTCAGAGGTTTTTGTGGGGTACGGAAGAACAAGATCTACAGAGAACACCACTAAACGATTTTCCCTTTCGTCTCTCAACCTCGACCGACGCAAGTGGCTACAACCGAGTGGCTACTTCCTTGGACGTTTATATATCCGTAGGGGGAATATGGCCAGTTTAGTCATATAATGCCCCCTAGGCTTTGGTTGAAGCTGAGGGATGGAGTTTGATGGGGCTGAGGATGAACTGATATAGATGGATATAGATGTATATAGATGGATATAGATAGATATAGGGGATACTACAGCTGCATTCCGTTCCAGCGGCTGCTTGGCGGCATCATGTCTAGCAGAAGCTGAAAATATATGTGGCCGAATGACAGCATACTTATACAAACTACGGAGTACTCCTCTACTAGTTACTTTACTTTCCTCGCGTCGGCAGTACACACGGCAAAGGGCCGAGCAGCCAAAAAAGAGCGGAGTGCCTCCGGCAACGACAAGGGAACGTATTTCCGCATCCCTCGATCCGCATCCCTCTATCCGCATCCCTTATCCGCATCCCTCTATCCGCATCCCTTATCCGCATCCCTTATCCGCATCCCTCTATCCGCATCCCTCTATCCGCCTCTGAAATCCATCCATGCCGACTAGGAAGCAGAGTAGTCCCCGTAGTTCACATAGCCATGTTCGCGATTTTTTTGCTTGGTGTTGTTTCGAAGCCGCCCACAAAATAGTTATTTTCGCTATGGCAACAATCCGCGTGTGTGGCGTTCGTCGCATAGCATCATAGCATGGAGTTGATCGTGATAAGGGAGATTGAGACACCGCCCGATGATTAAGCGCCACTGACAGGGACAAGGGCTACTGTATCATCGTCCCCAAAACCACCCATTATACACCGTACACTCTCCTAACAGCTTGTATAACACCGTATACAAGCAATTGCCATCATGAACTCCTACGCCGCCCGCAGACTGGCTCTCAATGCCACCCGCCGCCTCACAGAGCGCAGCTTCCACACCACCCCGCGCGCCTTCGTCAAGGTCGGTGACGCAATCCCCGACCTCAATGTCCTCGTCGAGGGCTCGCCCGGCAACAAGATCAACATGGCCGAGGAGCTCAGCATCGGAAAGTCGTTGATTATCGGTGTGCCTGCAGCTTTCAGTATGTGACAAGCTGCCCCCCCCCCGGCGCACCGCACCTTCCAGACGGGAGATAGTGTCCTGCCCAGATCTAGACAACATACGCGATAATGGATTGAGGCTAATGATTGTCAAAAGGCCCGGGCTGCTCGAACTCCCACATCCCGGGGTTCATGAAGCATGCCAAGATTAAGGATGCTGGTAACGTCTTCGTTGTTACCGTTAACGACGCGTTTGTGTATGTTTTCCATCGCGTGTGCTTGGGATATATCTAACGGTTACCAGGACTAAGGCATGGGCCGAGAACCTTGACCCAGATGGATCTACTGGGGTAAGCTCCGTCCTAGCTCAATGCTGCTCGCTGATGGCCTGGGCCGGCGAGCTATGGACTCAAACTAACTGTTATAGTTCCGCTTCATTGGCGACCCAGCTTGCACTTTCACCAAGGCCCTGGATCTCGATTTTGATGGGACCACTATCTTTGGCAACGAGAGAAGCAAGCGTTACGCCCTCCTGGTTGAGGACGGCAAGGTGAAGCAGACATTTGTTGAGCCTGATAACACTGGCATTGATGGTATGTAACCACCCTTCTAAATGAACCTTCAATGCTAATATATTATAGTTTCCGCTGCTGAGAAGGTGCTGGGATAGATTTAGTAGCTATCTTGTTGGCATCAGAGGGAGTTACTAAAAGTAGTCACCTTGGCCGTCAACGCTATGTATATACTATAACCAGATGCACAGCGAGTAGCTTGCAAATAAGAACAAGTATCATACATAAACTACAAAGAGAACCAAGCTCTAAGGGCCAGATATAGCTCCAAATCTATCAGTGCTGTCATGAATCAAAATATAATCACGTGACTCGGTGGATTGTGCCACTATCAACCTACCTCACATCTTGGCAAGGCTCCGAAAATCCTCCACGCGACCCGTCAGCCTTGCACGACAATCACCATCCCACGTCTCGACGCGCCGACAACCACATCATTCAATCCCTTCTTATATCACGTCCCTAAGCCCATTGTTCTTCGATCGCAATACCAACTTCGGTAGCATTTAATAAAAAATCGCGCGATTTGCCAACCAAATACCCCCGCCCCCATCGTCACACCAACCCCAGCTGGAGACAATGGCTAGCGACAAAGCCATCACCAACGCCATCTTGGAGACGGTGCGCAAGCTCTTCAAGACGGATCTCGATGCGCTGAGCGTGAATCATGTGCGCAAGATTGTGGAGGAGCAGTTAGATCTCTCCTCCGGCTTTCTAAAGGGCGACGCGTGGAAGGCGAAGAGCAAGGAACTTATCACCAGTGAAGTCGTGAGTATCCATCCCAATCCACGGCGAATCTCTAGAGCCATCCTCCCCAAGAGCAAAGACTGATATTTTATGACAGGCGAAACTAGATGAAGGCACCTCAGCCCCTGAATCCCCAGCTCCAGCTCCGAAACCGAAATCGAAACCCGAACCACAGCCAAAAGTAACAAAGAAAAACGAACCAGTCAAGAAAGGCACCAAGCGCGCTGCCCCAGCGAAGGCAGCGGCCCCGAAAAAGCGTCAGAAGAAGGAGGTTACGCCCAGCTCGTCGGATGAGGAGCTGAGCGAGCCGGAGAGTGAGCCCGAGCAGAGTGAGGAGGAGGCCGAATTCAGCGATAGCGATGTGAGCGAGGCGCCGAGACCGACGAAGCGCGCTGGAGGTGGACCGTGGAAGAAGGGCAAGAAGGAGGAGATGGAGAGTGAAGAGGAGAGTGAGGCGGAGGAGACGCCGAGTGACGGTGATAGCGATGTTAGTGAGGCGCCGAAGAAGAAGGGTGCGAAGCCGAAGGCAAAGACGAAGGCAAAGCCGGCGCCTAGGCGCGCATCTACTGCTTCGAGGAAATCGAGCGAGAAAGTTGTGTCTGAGAATGAGGAGGAGGAGGAGGTTGCGTCCCCGATAAAGCTTAACCCAGTTGTGGTCGCGAAGTCGAAACCGCTACACACAGTAGAGACACCAGACGCCGAGGACGACGAAAAGCCCGACACCACAAACCAGGCAGCCGAGGACTCCGACTCCGACCTCTCAGTCCTCATTAACGAGCCGCCCAAGCGCTCCAAGTCAAGCTCCAAGTCCACCAAACCATCCACATCCAAGACCCCCAAGCCCGCCGCGGCTCTCTCCCCAGCCAACGCCGAGATCAAAACCCTCCAATCCCAACTCGTCAAGTGCGGGATCCGGAAGATCTGGCAGTTCGAGCTGAAAGACTATGGAGACGATTCCAAAGCCAAGACCCGGCATTTAAAGAACATGTTGAAGGAGGTGGGGATGGAGGGACGGTTCAGCGAGGCGAGGGCGAGGGAAATTAAGGAGATGAGGGAGTTGGCGCAGGATGTGGAGGCGGTGACGGAGGGGGCGACGTTGTGGGGGAAGAGGGGGAGGAGGAGTGGGGGGAAGAAGGTGGTTAGTCAGGAGGTGGAGAGTGGGAGTGAGGAGGAGAGTAAGGAGGAGGATAGGCCGGCGAGGAGGGCGGCGAGGAAGGATGATTTGGCGTTCTTGGGGGATGAGAGTGAGTCGGATTGAGGGGGGTGGGGATATTCGGGGTTGGATATCCTTGGAGGGAGACACGCCTGCTTGGGCCTCGCTACAAATGTGGGGAATGTCTGTGTGTATTCAATGCAACTGCAGTTAATGTGGTCGCTTTGCTGGTATATGCGTGGAGTGTGTAATCAGCTCTTTATAATACTAGTTATTAATGCTATTTTGTGGATGCCAAAAAATAAAGCATTGTAGTCATAATTTTTAAGTTGGTTCAGTGTTCGGCGGATCGTATCCGGATCTGATCCTGAGCCCTCACGGGTAAGATCATGATCCATCTGAGGTCTACGGATAGATACGGGTTATATCCGGATCTTCAGGATAATGAGGCTTAAAATATAAAAATAGAATAGATAAAATAACTTATATAACTACTCTTCCCCCTCGTCATCAGCGTCTTCGGCTTCACTTTTTTCAACCTCTAGTATATGACCCCAATCTCGTAAACAGAGTAAATATCGAAGCGTTTCAGGAGAGAGCCTCTTCCTTTTCTTCGTAAGAATATCAGCTCCATTACTAAAGACCCGTTCTGATGGAGCTGATGTTGCAGGAATTGCCAAATGGTCTCGAGCAATTGCAGCTATAATTGGATATTGATATTGCTTTGCTACCCAATATTTGAGGATACCTGTTGCTGGACCTGGCCGGGTGGTCATATCGGCCCAGTAACTAAGGAGCAATGACGTGTAATGAATCATAGAGGCAATCGTTGAGTAGTATTGCTCTTGTTGTTGGTGTGATAAGCCAAAATATGTATAGTGACTTGTAGGTTTGAGGAGGAGATTTCTAAGTTTGCTCTTGAGTTTGATAGCAAACTGAGTGCAACGAATGTCAGTATGACACACCACCCTAAGATGAGTAGTGAACCTCATCATTAAAGTTATTAAGCTTCTCTCCAAATGAAAGGCATGGGAATTCTTTGTTAAAAACCCATAACTTCCGTAAATCTTCCTTTGTAATTTGTCATACTGACATTCGTTGCACTCAGTTTGCTATCAAACTCAAGGCAAACTTAGAAATCTCCTCCTCAAACCTACAAGTCACTATACATATTTTGGCTTGTCAGACCAACAACAAGAGCAATACTACTCAACGATTGCTACAACCCTCTATGATTCATTACATGTCATTGCTCCTTAGTTACTGGGCCGATATGACCACATAGCATATCTCTACAACCCTCTATGATTCATTACATGACATCACTCCTTAGTTACTGGGCTAATACTACACCTGACATATCTCTATCAACTAGAGGCCTAGGAACATGAACGATAGCTCCAAAAGCTTCTACAACCGTCTATGATTCATTACACGTCATCAGTCCTTAGTTACCCACAAGATTGGTTAAGTTATGACATAATCTGTCTATAGGGGTACTCTGACCTTGGACCTCCTTTCACTTCCTATTGGCTAGGAACCTAGGAGATGGTTCTATGGGATTCTCTTACGTCGACTACAGTTACCAAGCCTGGTTAGTCATGGAAAGTCTTGGAAAATGAGAGAACTACACTCCTTTAGCATAAATAGGATTGCCCTTTCCTTAAGAAAGGGCAAGCAGACAATACAGTAAATCGACTATCACATACTTCCACGTCTTTTCCAAGCTTCTAAGCATTGATCTTGTTACTTCTTGTTTCTGAAAAGTTAGTGAGGTGCTAACCTCTGACTTATCCCTGAGTTCTCAGACTCAACATTTGTTACAACTTGTCTAAACCACTCCACTACATCATACACCTGATTGCTGCGTTGTGGAATAGTCTAAGCTACGACCCTTTGGCTCTGTTTCCTAAGACAGTGTGTTGTCTTAGTAAAATCATCCCTTCCTTGGGTGGCTAGATTCTCACATCTGGTGCACCCACCATTACATAATTGCCCGGGCACTTGTAGCAACCTCTCCAGCTCTTGTCTATCCTGTTATTAGCTTTTTCTACATTTTGTACCGAAGGAAGAGAGTATATACCTTCTTCTTCCGAAGACTCTTCATATACGTCGTTACTACCGTTGATAGCGATGGGTTTCCCCAGTTTATTCCATCTGGAAGCTTCTGCCATACCGATGGAGTCTTATTGTAAGGACACAGGGCACCCAGCTCACAGTAATAGCATATGAGAGTGCGAGTCAGTTGCTAATATCAAGGTGAGTTAGTGAAGTAAACACAAGACAAAGAAGTAGATCAAAAGATATGTGTACTTACAGTGAGTTTGTAGGAAGAATATTGCAGAAGAAGAGTATAGAAAAGAGGTAGAGGTTGAAAGGTATGTGTTTTATATGAAGGTGCGCGTTGTGGTGTTGCTTTTGGAACAGTAATTCTTTGTAGGTGAATATTCCTTCACGAATATTTTTGTTTGCAACTTTAAAATAACCACGACCTTAGAACCACCTTCCTTGGTTACTCTCCGATCTACACATTCTTCTTCCCTTTTGCACCTTCACCTCTTCACTAGGACTTCAAGTAAGTTTATTATCTTGATTTTATAGCCAGAACTTCTGGCGATCTTCTGCTAATCACGTGTTTAGTATGGCGAAACGCAAGGCACCTGAAGAACTCTCCACTAATGTGTACTATCAAAGCTCGCAACCGCGTCTCCAACCTTACTAAAGATGGGAAGGCTTTTCACTTAGCACTCAAGGCTGACCATGCTGATCTGAGCTACTACTTAAAGAAGTAATATAAGTCTGCAAAGTATATCGCTGCCTCTACTGAAGACAAGACACGTCTACAGAATGAATTGAAGGTTGAGCGTATTCGTGTTCAGTAAGTTCCTTCTGGTAATCTCTGGTAGCCTCAATCTAACTATAAACAGGACTGAGAAGGGTACCCATGCATCTTGCATTGCGAATCAGAAAGTCAAGAATATTAGCGCCTCTTCTTCTTCTCCACAAGCACCACCATCTACTCCGCCACAACTTCTGTCTGAGCTTGCTGCATTTGAGGGTATCTCAAGTATCCCAATCGATGACGATCATAACAGCGAGTGGGAGGATACTGAGGTTGAAGACGATTTGGAGTTGGAGCTTATGTTACGGCGCGACGATATTTTAAATCACGAGGCTGTTCTACCCAGATGAGCTTTCCGATGAAGAGATCGCTAGCATCCAGGCTCTCTTAACTCAAGCGCGCATTGATGTATGCTACCTCATAGTCTGGTAATCTTCTGGTAATACTAATAGTTGATAGGCCCATGAAGAGTCCAATTTCTGCAAGTGGCAACATTTCTGGGATAGATGTATCCGCTCATATACGAGAAAGGCTGGAAAGCTGAGAAAGAAGCCTGAGTGTCTCTTTGAGTATATGCCGTGGATTGATGTAGAGGAAGGGTACGTCTCTGATCATCCTAGCAATCTTCTGGCAATACTAATTGTTTATTATAGCACTTTTCACGAGGTTATCCCACCACATAAATATTTCTGTTTGTACGAGCAGGCAGTTTGGACAAACTTTACAGCTTGGAAGTTTGGAAAGTGGGCCCAATTACCAGGACCTGCGCAGTGGTACCCAAAGTCTTACAATCTTGTCGACAATGGATGGTTGCAAGTCTCCACTCATAGTTCTAGCTTCAAAGAGGCATTCTTACTTGTCTACTCTAAGAAGTTTGATAAGGAAAAGTGGGCTAAGGTATCAGCTGCGCAGGATATGTTGTTCCTGGAGCTAGAGTAGAGGAGAACTTGAGTTTGCTAAAGTTATAGCGCCGGAGTACCTGGTTTTCCAACGCGAATAGGGGCTATAGAGAAATTTAAGTACTTCATCGTAGCCAGACTTCTGGTAACCTTCTGATAATCGAGCAATTTGCCAAATGTCATCTCAATACTCAGAGTTGTTTGATTCTGACAATCCTATTGCAGATGTATTCTCAGACTCTTTTCCATCTTCTCAACAACTATCCCCGTTAAATCAAGTCCCTGCAGGCCTTGAATATATTGGCAAATTAAACCAATTCATCAAATGGACTAAGGATACACACGATGTATTCATTGAGTGGTGGAAGCTATCACGATGGTATGAACAACACTCAGATCATACTACAAAACTCCTTACGAAGATTGCATGGGATTCAACGAACCGGAGTTCTCAATACTGGAGAAGTTATCACCAAGGAGCAGACTGGCTTTCTGGAGAACCATGTGTCATTTGTACTTATTGTTCGAAGGCCCTTATGCATCCTGCAATCAAGTCTGCTGGCCCAAAGTCTATGGCAACACATCTTGCATCGGACATTTGCAAAAAGAAGTCACGGATGGGTAAGGATAGTCTCTATCAAATGCGAATCAATCAAATGCGACCTCAACAAGTAAGGATTACCAGATTATTACCAGAATCATGTAGGTTAATATCTATAATAGGATCATATTCTCACACAAGAGACATTTTATGAACAAGTTCTATACACAGTTATCTCGACTCATAGCTCGTTCGCTCAGTCGAGGATACTGAATGGAAAAGGCTTGCTATCTTACAGAATCCTCACTATCCACTACCCTCAGCAACAACTATTCGAAACCTCTTAACAACAAAGCTCACACAAATCGAAGAAGAGATGCTACAAGATGTTGTTCAGTTGAATAACATGAGCTAGGCAGGGTATGTGTTGTACCTTTCCTCCAATAAAATGCTCGTTGTCCGCAATACTATCAAGCATTATTTCCACATCTCTCATCAGAAGTGTTGTTTGATGCATTATCAGTCGTAATGGATATAATTCGTCCTTCTAAATGGTTTTTCAAGTATTCCACATAACTCAGCACCAGTATGCTCTGTATATATAGGTTCAAAGCCAATCAAGACCTCTTGCATTTTCCAATGACGGTCGATAAACGATGCAATAACACCCATAAATGAAAGTCGAGTAACACTTGACCAACAGTCGAGCGATAATGCAATAGTGCTCTCCTTGGCCGAATCTGGATTACGCCAACAAATCAAGAGATCTTAATGAACTGGGAAGAAGAGAACCAGATGGAGGGCCTTGCAAAGTTACAAAAAGACAAGGGTATCAGATTTACACTTGGAAAGGTATATATTCTCTTGTTAGTTCTGGTAATCTTCTGGTAGCTTTTTCTAATATCTCATAGCTACGGAAGCTCACTATCTTTGTTAATTCAAGTCATACTCGAAGGAACAGGTTTATGACTTTGCAAAAGGCAAACATGAACCGGGGTCAACCATCTCAGAGACTTCTTCGACTTATTCAAGATGTATCAACTCGATGGGATTCGACATGCCATATGCTTCTGCGAGCACAGCAACTCAAGTCAACAATCAATCAATATACCCGAGGCGATCATGGTGCTCATATGTTTAGACTTGGCGAGGTAGAATGGGAGCACATCAAATACATCATTGATCTTACAAGACCATTCAACTTCTTTATAACAAACATTGGATCGTCAGCTGGACCTACTGTCTGCTATACACTCGGAGTATATCAAAAACTCTTATCAACGATTGAAGGAACTCGGCACCGGCTACAGCATAAGACATATCCATGGGTAGCAAAGATGACTTTAGCAATCGATGCTGCAGAGAAGAAGATTAAGAAGTATTATAACAAGCTATACACAAATACTGGATCTATCTTCGCATTTGCTAGTATCTTAAATCCTAGTGTAAAGCTCTCACACTTTAACAAAAAGGTTTGCAAGCTTGACTTTTCAATACGAAATTGGGAGATAGAGTTTGAACAACAGTTTAAGACTCTTTATAAAGAGCAGTACTCTACAGTGCCAGTTGCGAGTCAATTAGGATTACGAGATGCAGATATTGATCCATTAGCCTTAGTATTGCAGCAAAGTCAGACATTAAATGGGACTCGGGGCCAGAGAGAGGAATATGTGAATGAGGCTGATCTCTATCTTGATGCTCGTAAGTTTCTGGTAATCTTCTAGTAATCTTATTCTAACTTGTATAGCACATGTGTATACAAAGATATTGCTATTTTGGCAACAAAAGGAAGAGCAATTTCCTGGCGAATCATGTATATTCCTCTATCTAAGTACCACGATTATCAGAAGATTATCAGAACGCTATTTTCTATTATATATGCTTAAGAACATCTCTCCACCTTGCTTGATGAGGCCGGCCAGACCTACTAATACCTAAAGTATTTATGGGGTCTAGCATGTTGGATAGGCGTTGGTGGCGAGGACGGCATATCCTTATCTTCATCTTCATGAATAGTTGGAAGTATAGGCTCCTCATTATTACCATCTTCTCTTATATCTTCGTTATCTAGGATATCGTCATCTGGGATGTCGTATAAGGTCTCGTTAAGACGGTCAGCCCTATCTCTTTCTTCACCTTGTTGGTAGCGCATTTGTCGTTCTTCATGTGCGGCTTGTGATAAGTCTTGCTGTTGCTGTGGCCGCTGAGGGTTAAATGGAGGATATTGTACCTTTGAATATGTCTCTCGGATATGTGTATTTGATCGTAGTTCTTCTTCATCGCTGATATATTGTAACTCGATAGAATTGCACATCCGTTGTCGTTGTGCCTCATACTCTTCTTCTACTTGCTCCTCAGTCATATCAACGACGTCCATCATATCTGCAAGCTTGTCACGATGACATTGACGATTCTTGTATTGTCAAGAGTAATATACAAGCATAATACTCTTAATCGTCTCAGGATTAAGTTGGCCACGTCGGTGGCCACACACATCCCTTGCAGCACTAAAGACTCGCTCAACTCCAGACTCAGCAGCAGAAATACAAAGTATATCACGAGCTATTGCTGATAGACTTCTCACAGCTTACTAGAGATGGCGAGAGTGATGCTGATAGATGTAATACTTTAACTTAACCATAAAACTGTAAGGATGCCTTCTCGTCTCTCATTCTAGGGAGTAGACTCTGGGTAGCCGCGGGGTCACGTGTGATCATTTGGGTGGGCTAACTGAGTCAGAGCCAAGTCAGATGGGTTTCGGGTACTTGAGACAATCGACTCACGGGGTTCCCCCATCATCTTTTTTGTATCCTTCGTAGTAGACCTATAGGATAGCATCCGTTTAGCCTCCGACTCGCACTCTCATATGCTATTACTGTGAGCTGGGTGCCCTGTGTCCTTACATTATACAAAAAAGATCACGCCTGCCGGGGACGGCCGTACTTAAATAATATCCCACACCGGAACGACTCAGGAGAACTACCGTTACACCATCGACTGCGACTTGGTGACGTTTCGGAGGAGAGACCTGACGACTTCAAATAGCCGTGATTCCAGAGATCTCACGGACAGCCAGTGGATCAGGGTTTGATTCTTCAGAACAAGCTGGTAAAGTCGCCGACGCGTTGGCGCCAAATAGGATACGAGATCCTTAAGAACCCCCTCATAGCACAGAGGAAATTGTGGACAAGAGCATTGATAGCTACAAGCTACCGGAAGTCAAGCTCTTTCGTATTGGTACCGATACACACCCGAGGCAATATATCGAAAAAGCCGACATCAAACATACCCCAAGACAACCACGGTCAACTGCCCAGAATGACTACCAGACAAACCACCACTGCAGCTACGACCGCTGTGCCATCCGAAGACATCCCGAGTCGAATGGACCACCTTGAAGCACAGATACAGGAGGTCAAGGATCTACTAGTTATCCTGTCGCATCCCAGACCAGAATCCCGTCCACATTGCCGGTGGACGCCCCCATACCCACAGTCAAAGCTACGGAGCAACGAACGCCTCGCACACGAAACACCCCCGAGACAGTTCAATTGCCGCCTCTTCAGAACACTCGTTCTCCCTCGATTCCAGGGTCGTCAAGAATGCGTACCGAGGACCCTCCGAATCGCTACAAGAAATCAACCATCTCTGAGAAAATCCTTCCTCTCAGCGATGGGGTAGAACATACCTTCCTACAATGGAGTGCTTCGATTCGGGACCGACTCGTAGTCAATGAGGACCACTACCTTACTGACGTCTCGAGAAGAGCGTTGATATGGGGAACTATGACCGGCCTGGCGAAGACCTACCTAGAGCCCCAATACCTGTCCACTACGCATGGGTTCCGCAGTGCTGAGGAGATGATGGATCTACTAGGTTCATACTACCTCACAGGCAACGAGACAGAACAGGCCAGGAACCTCTTCGACGACCTGCAAATGGGAGAGAAGGGGCATGCTAGCGAAACCTTCCCAGAGTTCAAGGCTTGTTTCCAAAGTGCAGCTATCACAGGACAAGTCTCCGAGTCGGAATGGTTTCAGTACATGTGGAACAAGTTGACTCCCCAATTCCGCAGCCGCGTCGTGATCATCAAAAACCAATGGAATGGAGAATACCAGACCATGGTACGAGAACTTACCGCCTTCGATCAGGAACGGCGCCAGAACAACGAATTGAATCCGCTACCTGCTCTCGCAAGGACGTCCACATGTACCACGGATACTGCAAGCCCGTCGGCGTCGAAGCCGACTCGAGCCACATCCGCTCTGTTCACCCGAACTGCGTTCCTCCCCAAGCCAGCCATACTGGAACGTGTGAGAACCGCAGTCCCTGCGCCCTCAGGAAACTGTTTCAAGTGTGGCAAGCCCGGCCATTTCCAGGACAAATGCCCCCTTAACGCTACTATCAAGGAAATGGACCGTAACGACCCCGAGGCAGAAGAACAATGGGAAGAAGCCATGGAACTTCAATCGGATGCGTCCCTCAAGGAAAACGACGAG